GCTCTCACCGTGGACATGTTCGGTCTTGCATGATCCCCTCCACACATTCTTTACGGTGAAGTATATTGCATTATCACCTAAAACGTTTTACCTCCACATATATTATGGGATATAATCCCTCCACACATTCTTTCCTATTGTGTTGCACATTCCCTCCACAATTTAATCCCTCCCCACATATTGTGTTGCACATTCCCTCCACAATTTAATCCCTCCACACATTCTTTCCTATTGTGTTGCACATTAATCCCTCCACACTATTACATCATCTGACCAAGGTCATCTGACCTAGGTCACTATTGCATCACCTAAAGGTCAAGGTCAACCTCCACAAAAATGTGGAGGAGGCACCCGTAAAACACCCCTTCTCAATTGGTTAAAAATTGAGACAGATTAACGTAGGCGCACCGCATCCCTTTCTTTACAATATGTAGATATACGATTGGAATTGACAAAAAAATGCACTTATAATTATTTAAATTTAAAATGAGCAACAACCAGTGGCGGATCCAACGTTTTTTGGGGGACTTCTGGACCAAGGAATTAAGCACATACTAATATACACACCACTTATAAGAGTATTGCAGAGGGCGAACTTGTCCGTTCAAGTCTCACAAAGATTAATAAGTTATCAATGAACCACCTGATCAGATATGTAATGTGCATAGCATGGTCCAGCATTCTGACTTTCATCTGTCGAGTGATGCAGTTGTACTAAATTGTGGTTTGCAATTAATGTGACTCTGTGACAGTATTTACGCATTTTGTTTATTAATCTTTTTCTTGAAATTGATACTTAACCAGAGACGTAATATATACATCTCTGCTTAACATTTCCCCGTAATCTCTGAGGACATTGTTGTTAAATTGTGAATTGGAAGACACGTAATCTGCACCAGTCTGCATACCCCCTTGCCCACCTGCTGACATCCTTTGATGTCATACCTGTACACAGGCATATAGGTGTGTCTTGGGCCCCCTGCTGTCATCACTGGACAGTACCAGAAACATGTGTGGGTGAAACAGGCATATGCAAAAGAATGAAAAATGATAGAAATTCAGTCGTCACTTAAAAATTGTATATCTAAAACGGAGGATTAATTGTGTATATTATGCAATAACAGGGGGGTGATTCGTCAACAAACCGTACTGAACCGGACCGAAAATATAATTTATTTTTCTTACTTAGAACAACTCCGGACCGCCTCTTTTTGTGGATAACTTGAGTCACTTTTCAAAAATGGCCACCGCAAATTTTGGTGAGCAAGACGTTTTATCTGAGTAGGGCAATAAACGGAACAAGTATGACAGGGATTAAAATTTATCGCTCGGCGGGCGACTGAATACCAAATCACCTGACGCGTACTATATGTAACTTTTGTTCAAATTTATGTAATGGATAATGACTGAAACCTGGGATTTCTTCTGAATACAACCCAGAAATGAAGGCGTTAGCCCGAATACCACTTGGAATATAAATACAAGCCGCCACGGTTCATCAGTCACGCACGCTTTGCAAGGTGTGGAACGGCATAACACGACTTCTCCTTCCCGTAAACAGCCGAGATGTTAGATAGTAGTTATCATGATGAAGATTTCTATTTCTCTTACCCTGGACAGATTTATCCTTACTTTTACCGGTGTGAGATTTCCTTGTCTCACCCAGGGTTGAGACAAGCTACACGTGCTCTTTGCACGTTCTCCACAATAAACCTGACGTCACTGATGTGACTCGGAAGAAGAACTACTTTTAATGTGGTCACACACATACACAAGTTCGTCTGCTAATCTTGTCGTGTTTACATTTGACATCAAAGAAGATTGAATTGATTTTAAAATGTTTAAAATATGATGTGTGAACCGTCTGACGTATACATATGATATCAATACGCTATCCACGTGTTCCTGTTTACAAACAATATGGTTCGTCTTATACTTGGACAGGAACAACAGGGTAATAATCATTCACCCCCTCGGGGGGAAGATTCTTAAGTTGCCAAACACTCGGCAAAGCCTCGTTGAAACCCCCCTATCTTACCCCCAAGGGGGTGAGAGATTCTATTAGTCTGAACTGATTTTTTTCGACGGGCAGTGTATAAATCTCGAGTTCGATCCCTATAACTTTTGTTCATTTTTATTGTGTTTTTGTTTTACAACAATTCCATTTGTGGAAAACGTTTGTAGAATAGGAACTGACAATCCGCTGTGAAATCCGTTTTCTTCTCTGAAAGGGCGGACTGCATTCTTTACACAGAATAATTCATTTTACCTGTACCTGAGTGAGATCGGGTAACTCTGTATCGGGCCAGTATTATGTAACATCCCAACCTCGGCTTACGGCTCAGATTAGAATTATGTTACAGAATGTTAGCCTTCGAGCGAGATAACCCGATCTCACTAAATTTACAGGTGATAGACTTGAGTAATCCACACGTGCATTCTGAGATCACCGGAAAGTTGCATTTTATTAATTAAAAATAACGTATTGCGTATGTAGCGTGAGGTCTACACAACCAATTTCCGAAAACGCATTTGTCAAAGTCGGTCAGGTGAGCGAGGGACAGGTGTTTTAACTTACCTGTATTCTACGTCTACTTCGGTAATGATCGGTAATTTTCGGAGAAGTTTACGCGTGACGTCACGTTAGGTCATAGCGCGCCATTACGAAGCCATACTACTGTGAAAATTCACGATAGCTGTACCGTTATTTGCTGCTTGGACTTTTTTGAGTGACTATGGTGAACTGCGTGGTTGCAGGGTGCACCAACAGAACAGGTGATAACTGCAGTTTTTTTCGTTTTCCGAAAAAGTCAGATTTATTGAAGCTATCATGGGTAAAGAAAATGAACAGGGTCGACGAGCGATCTGGACCAGCTTCTGACAACATGTGGGTTCCCTATCCTACATCCGTGGTATGTTCAGACCACTTTACGTATGACTACTTCACGAGAGACCCTAGGGCACAACAATCTTGTGGTTAGATTAGAGAAGACAGCTGTTCCTACACTATTTCCGAGGAAGGAAAAAGACGGAAAGACATCGCCGTTCATCACGTCAGAGCCAAGACCTGCATTCAAGAAACGGGAAAAGCGAAGGGTGCGTTGAAGTGATTTTTGTTTAATTATATTTAGACTATTTATCTCTTTATTTTTCAAATCAGACTGAAACGAATACAATATGTCGAAGGGAAAACATTAGAACATTCCCTTCTATAATTTAGTTTCCTCCAGAACAAAAAATCATGAAAACTTCCCATAAATCTTATGTAATATAAACGAGTACACGCGTTGGAAATAAAATAGCCAATAATTTCTACTGCATGCCATGAAAGTTAATATAAAAGCTGTTCTTTTTATAATAATTCAATATTAGTGGACATTTACAGGTCCAGTGCACTCTGCCGATTGAGCTATATAGCTGAAAAGACCTATAATAGCTCTATTGACCTGAAATAGGTCATTTGAGCTATTTTCAAGTGATTTTCTTTTACAAGGAACACGGAACAAAGTCGCATTTAAAAGAAGATTGTATTATTAGGTTAATAACAAAAGACATTAAATATAAGTATTGTTTTTAAAAAATAATGATGTAAAGAAATCGGATTTTTTTTTACATTTATGAAAAATGAAAATCAACATCTAAATGTATGCTTTTGTAGTCAACATTACCATAACCTTATTGTTTTATGCGACTTTGCTTTAATTTAATGAAATTTGAAATCTGAGAAAATGTAGCTCCATACTATGGAAGGGGATCACCGCCATAATTATTTTTTATAGAATTAGTTACTTCTGGTTTTGAATCTAATTCTATGTACATTTGTATTATTTCCCTAGTTCATAAGTTCTATAATTAGTTACTTCTGGTTTGGAATCTAATTCTATGTACATTTGTATTATTTCTCTAGTTGATTAGTCTAGTGTCTATTTTCCATGCTATGTACATTTGTGTTGTTTCACTCGTTTACAAATCTATTGCGTGTTCATTCCATGCTATGCTAGTTTTACCGATCGCGATTTCGACATCGTTTATGATGGAGCGCAGCTTGTCGTCTTAATGAGGAACTAAAATTCTAGAATTTATTCTAGAATTTTAGTTCTCATTAAGACAACAGCCGGCGCTTAAATCGCCAACGAAATTCGCGGAAAATAATGCTCGCTCCCTTAAACCGGAAACAGACCCGATTGTGGCAGTAGATTTTGGGAAAATGCAGTCGACAGTGCGGTAAGTCTTGGTTATGACATCAATATTGAACTGTAATCTATATAGGTTTGAGCCAAAATTGTTTGTATCGTAGCAGAAAATCGTCATATTTATAGTTAGTTAGGATGCCGTAGCCATAATGAAATCCCACAAGTATTTGGTAACTGGCAAAATGTTAACCCTGCACACAGGCGTTCGTTGCAAATCATCAAATGCATGTCTGAAATACAGAACTGATATTGGTGCTGTCATAGCTTGACAAAGGGACAAGTCGGTCTTGGAAGGTTGCGACACGTTTAATAGCGAGCGCAGCGAGCTCTTTTTGTATCGTATGCGTGGTATATTATATAGTTCAAGCAAAAATCTAAATATAGTAACACAAAACGAAACTACAATACTATGCGATCTTTTTTCTTTACATCGTGCAGAACGGACTTTAAAATTTGCGACTCTCTGATTGTTATTAATAGATCAGAAGTTAAAAATTCACCGTTTTAAACATCTCTGTGGGAATAGAAAATATGTTTCACATCGTAACTTATTTGCGTAAACTTTGCAAATGTATTTGTTATGGTTTGGAATGTTTCTTCATTAAAACGGGTTTAAAAATTAAAGTTTTCGATGTTTTTGACGAATCACGTTAAGCAATAAAAATGTTTGTGGTCTGAAAGTCGCGGGCTTCAAAATTTGCTACATTTTGATTGGTTGAAAAGACCGGAACAGATCAACTTCGCCGGGAATAAGAACACGGGAGGGTAAAGGCCTACCGATCGACAAGAGTAGCTATTGAGCGAATTTTACCAGTATTGACCTCTCACAGACAGGTATTATGTTTGACTCTAAGGTCTACTGATTTCAATATATGCCTGTCACTCTATCATCAAGAAAACAGTCGTCAGCTTCACGAAAGCTAGGCCTGTGCAAGTCTAGTCTCAACGACAATGCTGATGTGCCGCCTGGGGTATGTCACTATGTACGTGCATAAATGTGTACTTTTATGTGGGTTAAAGGTGATTGAAATAATTTATGCTTTGCCTACTTTGTCGGTTCGTGTCAGTGTCACAATATGCTGTTTAATGCTGTAGATCGCGAGGTTTCCATACATCAGGAAATCTGGGACAAGTTACTTTGACAAAGGACTAGTAAATAATCTATTTAACTAGTCCTGTGTACTACCAAGCAAAAAAAAGTAAGTGTCTAACCCTGGGAAAATGATTTGTGAACTGCTTTGAGACGACCTAGGAAATAGGTTGTGATGAAGCGGTATATACATTTGTAAGAACCTCAAATTATTATTATAGGCAACTACCAAAGTTTCCCCCAGGTCTGTTACCACCCAGAAATACACTCATGCTAGCCCCTTCCAGGAGTCATACAGGGCTAGGATATACAATATAGTAATTAGTTCAGTGGTCATCCAGGGCTAAGATATACAACATATAAATAAGTGAACTATAGGTTACAGGTTGATTTTGAAAAAATACAAACAAGCCCAACTTATGTTTCATAGTAAACATCAACATTTGTTTACTAGTTCGGGGCTTTGGGCTTGTCAATTTAGGCAAATATGTAGATTTTTCATGAACCGAAAAAAAATTGGACATTGTTTACGTGAACTAGGCAAACATATGCGTTATGGTTTGAAGTGTTTCTTCCTTAAAACGGGTTTAAAAATTAAAGTTATCGACGTTTTTGACGAATCATGTTTCGCAATACAAATATTTGCGGTTTAAAAATCGCGGGCTTCAAAATTTGCCACATTCTAATTGGTTGAAAAAGACCGGAACAGGAAACTTCACTGGGAAGCCTGCATGATCAATATAAGAGTTTGGAGTGAATTTTAACAGTTTTGACCTCATCACAGACAAGTTTCATGTTTGACTCTAAAAGGTCTACCAATTTTGATATGTGTTTTTCACTCTTTCAACAAGAAAACAACTGTCGGCTTCACGAAAGATAGGCCTGTGCAAGTCTAGTCACTTCAGTGCAAAGGAGAACCGATCAGACGAAGAGATTCTTTGTTTATCAACGACAATGCTGATGAGCCCCCTGAGATACATGTATGTACGCGCATGTGTGGGTTAAAGGTAAGTATGCGTAGCCTACTTTGTCAGTTCGTGTCTGTGTCACAACACCATTCCCCCGTCCCCCTCCCTACCCTGGTCTGATTTGCTTCAAGTCAGTCGCACATGCTATACTGATATGGGTCACAGAAGATGGAAAGTCGAGGGGGATTCGAGATTCATTTATATATAATAAGGCAGCAATTGCTGGTAGTTTGTAATGGGTTAAGATGTACAAAATATATTTAGACGTGTTGAAAAAAGTATCTTTTTACAAGTTATTTAATCAGTTTTGTCTCATCTATTTAATTAAAAACAACGAAACTTACAAAAAATGACAAACATCAAGCATTCTATTAAGTCTCCTTAATGCATATTATATATATATGTGTGTATGTGTGTTATGGACTGTGGTCTGAGTGTACAAACATATATATGATTTGCTAAGAAAGTGTTTTATAAGTTTTCAAATGTCATCAAATAATGTTTCTTTTTCTTTCTTATAATTATAACTTGGTTGAATGTTCTAGCCTATATGTTTGTAAGTGTATATGAGTGTGTCTTGTTGAGCAATGTATTAAATGTATGCTTTCTGTCCATCTATACCGATTAAGAGAAGACTTATATAGGCTAAGCCTCTTGTCTCATCCAATTGTTCAAATTTTTTTGTCCAATAAAATGTGTTGAAATAAATAAGCCCCCTTTACATGTACCAGGGATGTGTAGTGGACTACACATCCCTGCATGTACAATGTCTTTTACCATTAAAGTTATTATTTCTAATATTTGTTCTACCTTTAATTGTATCTGTATTTAATAAAGGCATTAATTGCACTTATTTTTTGTAAACAAATGATATATGGTTATAAATGATAAATACATACTTGCCAACCTTTTGATTTTTTTTATGGGGGAGAAGCCGTGTGCTCAAAAGAAAATATTACAAAAATATTAATAATTATAAAAGATGTGTATATAAACAAGAGGCCCAATGGGCCTGCATCGCTCACCTGGTATTAATCTCACACTTGTAAACTTAAAAGTGGACTGAAATACAGCTTCAGGCAGAATATCAGTGTGACCTTGAATGTCAAACAATGACATTAGGTTGAAAGTGGGTCAAGGTCATTCATTTGAACAAATTTGGTAGCCCTGATTGCTACAGGCCAAATATCAGTACCCTGGGCCTTTTGGTTATTGAGAAGAAGTTGTTTGAAGATTTTAAGACATTTGCCACCTGTGACCTTGAAAGTTGGTCAAGGTCATTCATTTGAACAAACTTGGTAGCCCTTCATCCCAGCATGCTACTGGCCAAATATCATCACCCTAGGCCTATTGGTTATTCAGAAGAAGTTGTTTAAATGTTCTAAACATATTTAACCATATGACCTTGAATATAAACCAAGGTCATTTATTTGAACAAACTTAGTAGCCCTTCATCCCAGCATGCTTCTGGCCAAATATCATCACCCTAGGCCTATCGGTTATTCAGAAGAAGTTGTTGAAAGTTTTTAAACATATTTGACCCCTGTGACCTTGAATATAAATCAATGTCATTTATTTGAACAAACTTGGTAACCCTTTATCCCAGCATGTTACTGGCCAAATTTATGCACCCAAGGCCTATTGGTTATTCAGAAGAAGTTGTTTAAATGTTTTAAACATATTTGACCCCTGTGACCTAGAATATAAGTCAAGGTCATGTATTTGAACAAACTTGGTAGCCCTTCATCCCAGCATGCTTCTGGCCAAATATCATCACCCTAGGCCTTATGGTTACTGAGAAGAAGTTGTTTAAAGTAAAATGTTGACGACGGACGCCGCACCATGCCATAAGCTCACTTGGCCCTTCGGGCCAGGTGAGCTAAAAAAGAACACTTTAGAGTGTCAAATTGCCAATCGTCTTTTTAGTTGTTCTTCATGATGAAATCATGAGGTAACAGAATAATTAAGCAAGTTTAATTACTGGCTGAAAATGGTCAATTCTAGCACGGACTTAGATAGCAATCTAATTCCGTGGTCTGACCTACGAGTCGAAAGGTGTTAAGGGGACGTAACTCACGAGATCTGGAAAAATAAGCTACATGTAGATATGATTCGTCAATCCACCAAGGAATTAGACTAGACCTGGGTCCATGACTTTGACTGATTTTTATATGTTTCACTTTTCGAAACGTGTGAAATAATCAGTTCTTAAATATGAAAATGAAAAATTGATTAACTGATTACATGTAACGTTTTAGTCAATTTAAACTACGTGTATAATCCATTCAGATACGTGGTCACTCACAAACTCTACTAACAGGTCATTGATATATCTGGTCACACACTCTAATTATACTATAAACCACTGAGATACCTGGTCACAATCACTGGTAATAGTTCACTGAGTTACATGTACCTAGCAATAGTCACGAACAGTAACAGACGCACTACCTATGGACAACTGAGATACCTGATCACAAAAAATATAGTTCACTGAGATACCTTTACACAAAAACTTACTATAGACCACTGAGATCCCTGTGGTTACAAACTCTCACTATAGACCACTGAGATACCTGGTTACAAACACTTATCATAGATCATTGAGATACCTGGTCACAAACACCTACATTAAGACTTTTGATGCAACACTTCCTCAGAGATCAAGTAAAGATAAATTTTTAAAAAAAAAATATCACGTTTATGAGGTGTTTACATAATTGAGTTGTTAGTTTGTAAACAACTTCATGACGAGCACTGCTTTAATATGTTATTTGCATTCATAGCCTTACGCATCGAGATATACACAGGTGTGAAAGTTAAGTGTATAATTTACAAAATTATATAATATGTAGTGTGGCAGGTTTTGACTGTATTGTATTGGAGGTAATTTAAAAGCCTTGCAGCTGTGAACACGTCAGGTTTGTTTTCAGAAGTTGAAATCATTAATATTATCTTGAGCAAATCTAAATAATTTCATAACTGACGCACCCTTAAAAGCTTTTAACTTTTTGATGTATTGGTTTTGTGCATCCAATAAAGTTTGTTATAGTCATGAATATGAATAACATATCTTCTGATGTCGATTACATTTTAGATTAATTTTAGAGATACAGTTTGAAGATGCTTCACGATCTGTAGATTTCTTTACACACATGTACCACGCCACCAATTGTAAAAGTTCAATTTATCATAACTCTGTCAATATTCAAATATCTAGCTGAAGTTTGGTACATAGGTGTATCATAGTCATATGGATAACACACAGGGGCTCAGTTTCAGGATACTAGTACTTTCGGTTAATAATAAACCTATACACACCAGTAAATAACAACAACACTTTTTATCCGGTGTTTACACATCCTTAAACCTATACCCTCAATTTTTATAAGGTTTACCATTTTGATAACTAAATGTATGAGATACCTAAAATTGAAACATATTGTATGAAGGTTCTTATAATTATGTGAATTTAAGGGTTTTCCCCTGTCAACTACAAGTAAATGTAGAGATTCAACTGGGGAGAATTTACTGTGATAACTTGTCATGAATAACCTGAATGTACCAGTATATGTGTGCAATCTTATTTTTGACAATTATATTGCAGAATCATAATTAATATTAATGGAAAATTAAGGATCTTTTTATTTTACTGGTATATATCTTGGAATGAAAAAAAATCATAATTAATTTTTACACATTGCAAATTGTAGTTCTGAGCCTGGCATAAACTTGGATAATACCGGTATATTAATTTCAAATGTGATAAGAAAAGCAGAAGGAGAATGTAAATATAAATGCAAAGGTTAAAACATTTTAAAAATGGAAATAAATCTTGAAAGAAAAGGTTAGTTGTGCTATATATATTTCTATAGTGTAGTGGTCATCACACTCGCCACTCTTTGGTGGGAGACCCAGGTTCAAATCCTGGTGGAAATAATAGTACAACTTGAAATTATGTTAATACTACAAACATATATAAACATAAACTACTAATTATATACAACTCATTTCCCATTACTTGGTACATTTCATATAAATATATATATATATACTTGTTAATTTGTTCTTTACTGCATACAACAACAGGACATTCGAACATCTTGGTGGGCAGTGAGTATTACATTTATGATTTGTGAACTTAAGCTAGAAAATGGATTTTTTTTGTTTTCAAAGTCTTGGTGTTGACCTCTTGTGAATGCCATTTGTCCATCATAGTAACCACTTCAGTTATGTTTATGCCGACGCCATAAAATTGGGGGGGGGGTGTGCATATAGTGTTGCCCATGTCCGTCCCGTCCCGATTCAATGTAAACACCCGTCCTGTCCGTCCCATCCCGTCCCATCCTGATTTAGCAACTTCATTCTTTGACAGATTTTAGTCAAACTTTATTAATTTTATAAGGTACAACCCTCCATAAATTGGGGGGGGGGCATATAGTGTTGCATGTCCGTCCTGTCTCGATTCAATGTAAACACTTAGCAACTTCATTCCTTCATGGATTTTGGTCAAACTTTATGCAAAGGTCAATTATGAGTATACTTCGGACATTGTTGTGTTGCAGGGTTCCAAGGTCAAGGCCAAGGTCACTGTTGCTATATATAGAAAATCATCAACTGGCCAAACTTTATGCAAATGTCAAATATGAGCATACTTCGGACATTGTTGTGTTTCGGGGTTCCAAGGTCAAGGCCAAGGTCACTGTTGCTATATATAGAAAATAAGTGTAGTACCTTGTGTGTGTGCATGTTTCAGGGTATCAAGATCAAAGTGGTTGTAACTTTTTATAGAACACTGAAACTAATTTTACATGGCAGGGGGGCATTTATGTCTTACAGACATTTTCTTGTTTGAAGGAAAGTTCCATGGTCAAATGCAAGCCAAATTTATGAATTACATGTGGATCTAATCTGCAAGGGGTTTGAGCCCAACAGAGGTAAAATTGACTAAATTTTCAATGGTCTTCTTATTCAGGCACAGAAATGCTAGAATCAAATACTCTTCATAGATGGAATTAAGGTCCTGTAGGCCTGTTCCAAATTTATGAATATTTTACTACCTCTGGATCATTCATTCCTCCTTGAGAAGGGGTTAATGTTTAGGCTTAAGCAAAAAAAAAAGTTTTTCATGCAACATTCCAGAGAATCTCATTTTAATTTCATGGATCAATATACTTACAGGGTAATAACAAATGTAAGAATTTAAATGAATTTCTATGCATTTCAATGGTTGTTATTCTGTCAAGAATGTGGTCAGGATCCCATGACCATAACAGGAAGAAAGTGTATGTGATCTTTGCCGGACTATTAATTAAAATGATCTTCATGGATACAAAGTAGGTGATAAAATGTTCCCTACGGTCCACAGGAAAATTTAAGGTAGGTCATGATCAGGTTATCCAAAGCATATGTAATCTTGTTTTTGGCCTTACTGTTGTTTATATTGGGAAATAACATTTTTGGGTATATTTGTTTACTCTCAGTGGGAACAAAGTTGGTTGGAATGACTATCATGTGACTGAATTTTTATGGTATGAAAATTAAGAACCTGGCCCTTCCCTAGGGCCTATAGGGAGGGGCCAAAGAGGGAAAATTGGCTGAAATTTCAACATTCTTCTTCTTCAGATCCAGATATGCTAGAATCAAACACTCTTCATGGATGGAAAGGTCCTAAGTCGCTATATCTGAAATTGTTATTTCATTACCCCCGTGTCATTCATTCCTCCACTATATCCTTTTTTTTTTGAAAATTGTCAGCGATATATACCGTATGTCAGACAATTATGTACCCACCATAAATTATATCAATAATATATGTTGGTCACTCCTAATATGAATTTCTCTCAGGGAATTCAAAAAACCTTTTTTGGATTGTATGAACTTTTTTTTGTTTTTGTTTGATTTTTACATCACTACAACAAATAACATAATTGCTTTACAACTCAGGTCCATGTATCACTTGTATAACTTGGTGAGATCACTGTTGTATATTTATCACTTCTGTTTTGTAATTGCTATGGTCCTGTTTATATCTATTGCAGCGTCTGGATTCTGAAGATACTGGTACAGTGGTATGCTTTAGGTTCAAAATATGTTCACGATATAATGCTTTCTTACATTAAAATGTAAATGATTAAATTTTTTATCATTTGGTTATTCAAAAGGAATGGATATTGCAGCCATTGCTTCTCCAATATTGGAATATTGAGAAATTGAATGCTGGTTTAGAGTTACAAAATGGGTACCATAGCTACCTAATACTGATTGAGAATCATCTTTGAGCTAATTTTATTGCCTTTGCATGTCACCTACAGACCAGGTAAAGCTTGTAAATGAAGGATGCTGTATTCATCAGTTGTTTGTTGTTTGTCTGTCTGTTCTTAGAAATGACCATGCTCTTTGCAGGTCATAAAAAGATTAATACACATACTAACTGCTCCCAGGGTCCTGTCACCCCAGCATGGTGACCTTATAACATTGGAATGGTTGAATTTTTTAGTGTCCTATAATGAAAAACACCTACTGGCAATCCGGAGGCACGGTAGTCTAGTGGTAGGACACTGGGCTCGTGACCGAGGGGTTGCAGGTTCGAGTCACGGCACGGCACTGTGTTGTATCTTTGAGCAAGATACTTTGCTCCGCTTGTTCCAGTCTACTCAGCTATAAATGAGTATGTGGTTGGACAGTGCTATAATTGTAGAATGCTAACTGTGAGTGCCGGAATGGCAGCACCGGATGTATGGTCCCCAGGGAGTTGAGAATGATATTGGCTGGTTGCAAAGGTCCTATAACCAAGGATAATAATTTATGAATCACTTTAAGATGACCTACGAACTAGGTTGTGATAAAGCGGTATATAGGAACCTCAAATTATTATTATTATTATAGACAAATACCAAAGTTTTCCCCAGCCAGGTCTGTCACCACCCAGAAATGCACTCATGCAAGGGACAGGGCTAAGATATACAACATAGTAATAAGTGAACTATAGTTTACAGGTTGATTTTGAAGAAAAATATACAAGCCCAACTCATGCTTCATAATGAACATAGACATTTTTTACTAGTTCGGGGCATCGGGCTAGGCAATTAGAGGGACATATGTTCTATACTATTTCACCTGGGGTAACCAGATTTGGTGAACAACGACAGCTTTGGATGGCAGCGTGCACGGTGCAAGAATTTAGAAGGTCACTCCAGTTGTATGACCTCACTGTGACCTATGCTTTGACCTTTGACCTTTACATTTGAAAATATTTGTCCTGGGGCATATCATCTATACTATTTCACATGCAGTAACCATGCAGATTTGGTGCGTAAGGTTTAGGTTACTGTGACATATGACTTGACCTTTGACCTTTACTTTTGAAAATGTTCGTCCGGGCATATCTTTTATACTTTTTTACCTGGAGTAACTAGATTTGGTGTACGAGGACATCTTGGGATGTCAGAGTGTACATAATTAGGTCATTGTGATCAATGACTTGACCTTGACCTTTGCATTTAAAAATGTTTGTCCGGGGCATATATTCTATACTATTTCACCCTGAGTAACCTGATTTGAAGAACAAGGACATCTTGGGATGGAGGAGTGAAGTAGATCACTATAACCTCACTGTGACCTATGCTTCCTGACATAAGTGTACTGTTTGTTAAAGATAGCAATTCTTACCGGTGAGTGACTATGGATCGCATTGCAATACTTTGACTTTTTAACAAACATTGCAAATTAGATCCTATTTCTATCATTTTGTCTTGACAAATTTTGATGCTAAAAGGGATCAGGCGATATATTGACAAAGGTGTTGAAACAGAGACGTATATAACTTTATACGTCTCTGGTTGAAATAATAGTAAATTAGTAACAACAAAAAGGCCTACATGAAATATCTGGCAGGTTTTCTTAATTAAGATTCTATTTTTTATAACCACCATTTATTTCTTTTTCATGTCAGAATATTTGACGCACCTTTGTCCTAATGAGGGATTCTGTTCATTTTGTAACCTTAAAGCCCTTAGCTGGGGCGCTGCAGGCGCCCGAGATCTACACTATCATCACAAAGGTTACCGAACTATGTGCGCTCGCTTATAGGCAGTGCCTATTTCATATTACGTTGTGTAGAAAGTAAAACTTTGATATCAAGTATCCAATCACAAGTGTTTGAAATTCTGACTGTAAATTGAGATAAAAATCATATAAAAAATAAGGGTATTAGGCTTAGTCTACTACAAAAAAAGTAGAAATACCCTTATGTTTTATATGATTTTTATCTCAATATTTACAGTAAGGATTTCAAATACCTGAACAGCCTGAAATTAGCATAAAAATCAAGATTTAAATTTTCTACTGTTATTAGTTCGTGATGACATCAGATTCAATCAGGTATGCCTCATTCGAGGAAAATGTGCATAACCCTGGCCTGCCCATATGCAGTTCTTGCAGATGTCATATTAAAACATATAGGAGGTGATAAATCTATAACTATAGTTCATGGGAACAGTGGTTATTGAGTGATATTGGATGTCAATATTGTTAACCAATTATCAAACATATCTTCGATTTAAGTTAATTTGAAATACTTGTTTTAAGTCGTTATCAATTTTTTTTATGTGCATTATGTACAACATTTAGCAAATATTACTGAAATCTCAATGACATAATTGTTGTAGGTCTGGTTTGGTAAGCATGAAGTGTTATGAAGTGCCAGTTTGCCAACCTGATCACTGGTTTTTGACAGCAGACCGTCTACTTCATTGATACTCTGAATAACTCCTGCAGTGAAGAGGCATTTCCTGAACAATGGAGGTAGTGCATATTAAAATGTATCATGTTTCACAATGTTTGAAACTGTTTATATGCTGGTATACATGTAAATTATTATTAGGTCACCACCCGTCTGTAAACTTTTAGATATTTTCTTAAGAACCGGGGAATGAATCTTTTTAAACTTGGTAAGCTTCATCCTTGGTGTCCACTTGTCCTGAAGTCGAACAGCTCAGTGGGTTTTGACTACATTTGGCCTTGAGTTCGAGTATCCTTGGTCAAAAGGGACCCAATTTTGTATAAACAGAGGGTGTGACCCTCCTGGGGGCAGAGGAGCGGGGTCCAATAGGGGGGAAATATTGATAAGTGTTTAAATTATTCTCTTTCAATATGCTGAGAGACAGAGCCTATAGTTGCAGTACATGATGTATTTAATCACAATATGTTCCCGTGGTTGTTTCAATATCCAGTTGAGGGATTCAGGCCCTCTAGGCCTCTTGTTTGTCTCTTTATTTTTTTTTACATCTAATGGTAACTAGTGATGGGCCAATACTTGATAATATGACTCAAAATTGATAAGCTTGCCTTTTCAATTATTGATTACGGGTACAAATTCCATAATTTGATCTGTCCATTACTGAACTCAAGTGTCAAATGTAGATTGTAAGTCTGAGCTATTTATTTTGTTAAAGGCTTAACAAAAATAAATCAGGTTGGCTTCCTGTTACATGTTAAGTGATTCCTTGAAATTTTACCAAAATAATAGGTAGGCATAAAAAAATAGGATGGTTTCCTGTTACATGTCTGAACAAAAATAGGAATTAGGGTTGGGTACATGTACATGTAGTTAATGTTTTTTCCTTTTTCACAACGCTTATGTAGGAAGTGATTCTGACTTTAACAGTGCTTCCTTGAAATTTGACAAAAAATAGAGGAGGCACAAATCATTAGGGAGGGTAACTGGAAACAAACAACATTTCTTGTTTGGCTCAATATTTATTATATGATTGATGTTATAGTTAATTATGTAAAATACTGAAGCAGGAAACCTAATGTATAGTTAACAACTCTGTCTATTGATTCAGTAATTAAGCACCATAAAATTATAGACTTCATAATTATGCAATCATTCATCCATCAGTTTACTACTTCCAGTAAACTGACCATCGGATATGCTTTTGAAACCAGATGCCTGTCACTTAGGTGACATTTAATGCAAAGACATATTAAACACACTACAATTAAACTTCATGCTGATCAATAAAAGAATTTAATATTTTGTTAAGTTACCTAAATGGAATGTCAAGATTTATATGGATAACCCGTCATAGTTTTAACTTGTTATTTGAATTGTCCTCTTTATTCAGCGACATCCTCGAGACACAATAACAGAAGCTTTCTAAAGACATGCAAACCATGAGATGGAAACTTGCTTTGTAATTCACTACCAGTGACTGGCAGTCCTGAAACAGGTGGTTAGCTTAAGTATATTCAAAATGAGGTGTTATTATAATAAATTAGTCCTATTATCATAAACACAGTTTCGAAGTTCCATAGTGGGATCTGTATATATACTTAAAATATATGTTTCTTCTATGAAATGATGCTGATGTATTCAAGGTATATTATGTTTTATTGTAGGTTTAGTATGAACCAACTTTTAGTCAAATTTCAAAAATTGAATGGGTGACCTCGCAGAGTATATATTGCTATTCTCCCACAAAAGCATATCATACAGTTACAACTATCATATCTACAGTGTCTATGTCTGATTCATGACAATATTTTATTTTTATTTTTTCTCCAGAATGTCCAACTTTTCTTGGCAAATCCAGACCTACCATCAGGATGCAGTGTCATGTAAGACACTGCAAGAGCTTTGTCTTTCTGGGATTCCTAAGCCTTTGAATGGAGAAAACAAGACATTGCTGCATATATGACGATGAAAATACCATATTGTTGGACATTAATTAAAAAGAGCATTGACCAATGACATGTATACCGTGGCTAGTGATTGATAATTGTTGTGATTTTTCTGATTTGGCCATACAGTCAGAATGAAGGAAAGACAAATATCATGGTTCATGAACTTCAGATACACTTTTAAGCTCCTCTGGTACAAACTGTCATAATCTTATGGTATAGTGAAGTGTCTGTCATAAGTCTGTCTGTCAACTTTTTCTTTAAATTACTTTTTTAAATTGAAAATCACAGGGCCCTTATATTTGGTCAGCAAGTACTTGGGATAAATACTTTAAAGTTTCATCATGTAGATTACCTTGACCTTCTTTCAAGGTCACAGGTGTCCAAAACAGGCATCAGTTTCTTAAAAACTGGTCTTGAGTCATGATATTTCATGATGATTATATTTTATTCAGTATTCCTTTGCATTGCTTTGTTTAAAAAATATTTTTTTCAAATTGTTCCATCAAATATATGTACATGTATGTAGATATATGTAATGACAGCATACTTGTTGATAACTTTGTCGTAGCGATTGTTTTGTTAACTTTTATGCATATTGATATTTTTTTATGAAATTAAATCATTGTTTATCTTCATTTTTGTATGTTTGCCTCACAACAGAAACGTATACGTCTCTGCTCACAAGTAACATTTATTATTCCCAGCCCCTACTCAACGAAGTTTACAGAGGATGAATAAATGGATTCGGTCTCACCCTCCATTCCCATTAAGAAAAAGTGTTGGGTCCATTTCTGGGTACATCTAGGTAATACATGCATAATGATGGCATCAATGACACAGCTATAGGGACACTAATTAATGTGTGTAGATGCTGAATTTGACTTACATTTTAGACTCCAGTGACTTCCTTCTACATTGTACATCAGTGCACATTAAGAAAAGTTGTGTAAGTCCATATCTCGGTAACAAAAACTATTATATTGGTAAAATTTTAATTAATGATGCAGGTAGGGTTGCTCTCCTGAATGCATGATGAGGATGCTTAAGCTGACCTTTCATTAAACACTTCAGTGCCTTTCTTTTATTTTAAATATAAATGTAACAGGAAAGAGAATAGTGTGCTTCTACCGGGGATCAAACCCTTGATCTCCAGGTTGCTAGTTGGACACTCTACCACTGAGCTAAAGGGAAATTCACTCTAGCTCGAAGCTAGGAGGCGACCTTAATCCTATGTACAATTGAACCCTGCCACACTACTCCAACCTTTTAAAATGTGTTCGCCCTCGGACACCACAACCCATGTTCTAAAATATAACTCCCTGTCACTACAGGAAGAGCCACAGACACCATTTGTAACAAGAAAGAGAATAGTGTGCTTCCACCGGGGATCGAACTCTCGATCTCCAGGTTCCTAGTCGGACGCTCTACCACTGAGCTAAAGGAAAATTCGCTCTAGCTTGAAGCTAGAAGGCGACCTTAATCCTATGTACAATTGAACCCTGCCACATAAATAAACTTTAACCTTAAAAGGGAATTGCATATCTGGGTAATTGTAAATGCTGCATAAATGTTCAGTGTTGCAAACTAAATATATTTGTCATTATATTAGAGCAATTAAAGGTTATTTATTTGATTTGAATTATTCTGTTAGAAATATATAACCATTCACAATTGTATAATTTACTACAGAATTAAGTCTGTGAATTTACTAAATTTTGACATGGACTTGTCTATGAAGCAGTGGATATTGATGACAGCACGTTTTTGTTGGGTTTGAAAGTATGTATGATTTTGTTTCAATTGAACATTCTTATCAAAAACTCCTGTTTCATTGGTATGGACAAAAACACATAATGGTTTACTCTGATTGACTCTAAAAATAACTTGTTAGGTGGAGGAAGTTGGTTCATATTCTTCTCTTATCTTTCACCTATGGTAATCTTGCCCCAAAAGCCACTTCAAACTCTTCTCCAAACTTAAGCTAAAACGTATATATAAGAATAAGACATGCACAGTACAGGTGATAAAGAATTAATTGTAATTGGGGTGGTGGTGGGGTGAGATTGTCATATAGGGTGTAAGAGATTGTTATTAATTAGTTACTGCACGGACTTAGATTAGACTAATCTAATTCCGTGGTTACTGCAACATTTAACCTACATAGATGTAACTTAACTTCATATTGATTTGTTTATGACGGACTGTTTGCTTACGCGGACCACCTTTGTGTGAATTTCCGGTTCACCCGGGGCGAGCAGATTAGTTTGTTTGTTGTTTTTCAGAAAATACGTTCCCAAATTGGATAATCTGTTCTCAAGTAGTTCTCAAGTTGATCTCAAGTCATTCTCAACTTCTTGAATATTCTCATACTGACAAACCATGATAATGAAGTAGTATATAGATGATAACATTGTTTCTGTAAAGAGTTATAAGGATAGTCATGTTGTTTCGATATTATAGAGAGCTTTTTAGTGGTAACTGGATACATTATAATCTGATTAAAACCATCTGTTACAGGGCTCCGCTTAAACATCTGAATCACGTTCAAGTGACCTTTAGATGAACCAATCAGAGGCGCGCTGGCGAAAGTTTACCAGCGCATCATATCATGGTTGATAGATAAGCGATGGGTATCGAACAGATTAGTCCTAAACAAATATGGCGGCGGGAACTGAAATTTCTACGACGCCAAGGAAAACGTACCCATTGGATAATAATTGCATAGTTTATTAGAGAAGAAAGACTGTACGGCCGTGTTGGCCGTACAGTCTTTCTTCTCTAATAAACTTCGAATATCTTTTTCTGTTCGGGTTTCAGACGATCAATCTCAAATAACTTCAGAACTTTCGCATCATTCTCATCAATGTCCGCCATATTTGTTACAACTCCGAGCGCCCTTTTGAAAGAGGGTCTCTGATTGGTCAACATTTAATGAGCATTTATAAATATAAAGGTTACCTGAACAAAGTTAACGAAGCCATGTAACATATGATTTTAATCAGATTGGATACATTATCTCAAAGTAATTCGAACAAGATAGGACAAATCAAGATGACTGTTATTTGGGTCCATAAAAGGTAAACTACTACGATAAATAGAACTTTTAATTACGATTTAGGCTTCTGGTATTTATTGAACTGCAATTCAATTAAAGCACAATGTGACTTATGTTTCTGTGTAACAGTGCGATACTTGTATTTACTTCCACGATACCTACACCAGATAAGCGATCGATAACAAACAAAGGTAGTTTTGTTAGGTTCATTTAATCAAGGCTATCATTGATTGAATCACGGAAACTCTCAAGTCTGCACTCGTACACCTGTGTAAATAAAGAAATTGGGTAGTCGATCTTGGGTAAATCTGCACGAGTGATTAACAGTAGAGCCGTCATGGCGACTGAACGGGACCTGGCCATCGGTGCCGGAACGAGACAAATTATGATTCAGATTTCAGATTTCAGATTTTATTTCCAACACTCAGACACATGGAAATGTGTAACATGAGGTACATGTACATGAATTCATATATTAAATTTTGACAGGATGGACAGGTGCATGCATGTATACAAGCAAGATTGTATTGACACTCAGACACATAATATGTGTTACATGAGGAAATAAAGTTGCAGATATGGAAAATGAAGTAAAATATACATATTTGTATACACATGTATAACTGAAAGAATAGACAGTTCAATTTAGAACCGGTACGTTATAGTAATATGATATGACATACAATGGAAAATACAAAGCAAACATAAAAAACAACCATACATATAATTCCCAAGTTACTTAACTATTGACAATTATACATATGCATCATTCACAAAAGAGGAGCCATTTTGGTTAGGAAAATAGATAAACCTGTCAGAACTCGTTGATTGCATAATCATAAAAGACCTTTAAATATCACAACTTACAAACTTAATATAACTATATATATATAACACATGTATAAACATAGCTATTGAATGTAAGGTGTACGAATAGTGAAAGACCACCTACGTGTGGACACTTTATTGTGGGGGGGGGGGGGACTGATCTCAGGGCTCCTCAACCCTGGCAGCCTCCAACAATCAATGAATATTCGCATATGCATATGTCAAAGATCTATGAAATGAGAATATCAAAATGCTGAGGGATTAAAAATTTGTATAAAAAGAACACCTTATAAATATTTGGGTTTGTGCAATAATAACGAAGAATATATTTGTTACGTAAGGTGGATATAGTTATATTATTGCATTCAAATAGATAATGGAATTCATCCCCGACACTTTCCGCGCACAAATTACATACTCGATTATCTCGGGGTATGTTATACCATCTACTTGTTTCAATTGGAAACTTCAAAATTCGAAGTGCGTAGTTTTGTTATTGGTGTTCTGATATGTTCTGGCAGATAAATATTTTTCTAGACCAATATTTTTCTAGACCAACATGTTTCTAGGGGATGTGAAGGTTGAACTTAAGAAAATATGTTTTTAAAGAACGTATTGTAAACCACTGGAACTCCCTACCCGATACTGTCGTCACCTCACCAACAATCAAAACATTTGAATCCCGTCTGGATAAGTATTGGGGACAACCTGATTGTTTCTATAACCATGAGATAGACAATAATGAACTTATTCATTGCCGGGACGTCAGCATAGTGTCTGACGATATTCCAGATCTGGATATATAGGCATATTGCCTGCGTCCAGTATTATTAATTATTATTATTATTATTATTATTATTAAATTCCGTTTTAAATAGAGTGTAGAACTGCCCACGAGATGAGCTAGTAATGTCATCGAACTATTGCTGTACAAAGTGATCGTTAAGCCGTTGTTTTAAAATGCATTTGTAAAATACATCAGGTATCTGTCATCTATTATCAAATATGTAAGAAAATCCCGTTTCATTGAAAATTCCTTTTATATAGTTAATCCATTTGAACGGAGGAGTATCATCGTTTTGCATATGTAAAGCCAGTCGTAGTAATATGCTGCTGAGTTTGTTTTCATTACTAATTATTCTATTCCAAAAACCAAACATTTTCAGTTTAACATTTATTTCCAATGGCACACGACCTAGCTCGCCATCAATCATAAAATTAGGCGTTATAGATCTCACTTTAAGAATTCTTTTACAAAATTTCAGATGAATCTGTTCGATTATTTTCAGGTTTGCGAATCCCCAATCATCCGATCCATACAATAGAATCGGTTCCACTAAAGAATCAAATAGTTTTAATTGTAAAACTATAGGAAGAGAAAGGTTCCTGATTTTTTTGTATATAGCAAATATTGACTTTATGTGAGATTCGAAATATACTGAGGAAAGTTTAGTATAATTCAAAATGCTATGGTTTACTTTGAACTGGGGAGGTTCCCATTGTCCCTCTTAGGCAAATTAAGAATATTTAAATACTGGTGTAAGTTAACCTCTACCAACAATTGTATTTTAAAAGGATGTTACGAGTATATGTACAACGAATGTGAGGCTAATCCAAATTGTAAAAACTGGGTTGCGAAGGTCAAACACGAGCTCTGCTTATAAGGTATGATTGACATTTGGGTTTCGTAACATATTATAATTGTAAACAATTTTATATATATTGTAAAGCAACGTTTGTTAGACAATTTT